CACAAACACACTCTCTCTCACACACACACACACACACACACACACACACACTCACTCACATGTTACTGGACCTGAGGATACAGTACAGTACAGACGGACGTTTCTCACAGATACGGAGCTCAGCAGTGACATTACATAACGCTTAAACACACCAAAAGCCGAGTTCAAAAGGTTTTCAGGCCACAAATCAAAGAGAGGAGGATTAAAATGACCCTCAATCAGCTCTAGTTTCTTTATTAATAATAGTTTCTGCTATTAAATTATTTATAAGGAACATTGATGATTCAGCGAATTTCTTTATAAATGAGATCCATTTCTGCTCGTTACTCATCAGTGAATGTAATTTCAAAAAATCTTCATAATCATAATGAAAGAATAACTTTCTAGCCAGTATAACATTTTTAGAATGTCCAAAATACTGCAGAAAGATAAAACAGTATCTGTAGAAATCTGCAAAATGAACGCTCTCCCATATAGGCCTATGGAAATACACTTTTCTCCATGTCAGTTTTTTTATGAAACGAAAATAAAACAATGACCATATCGTATGATTTTAATAAATCAGATCCGAAACAGTCTCAACTAGTGGTCAAACGCTATGGGTTTTCAATGGCTAATGACGATGATACATACACATGAACTGCTGTAACTGAATGAAAACTTAACACAATATTCACTCAAAACTAATATTAAAAAACAGAAAACATGCATCATTCCTTGGCAATAGGGTTGGGTACCGAACTCTTAAGTACTTTTAAGGGTACCGACCGAATTGCATCGGTACATTAAATCAATCGGTGCCAAATTTTGGTATATAGAATAGAATAGAATTAGTATGCCCCAAATCGTAGTATGTTGAAATGAGTATCCCAAAGATTCCCGGGTGGTCTACTACTTCTGGTTAGAATTCGAAGTGCAGATCGATGCACACTCTAACGGCTAATATTGTGCGTTGAACGAGGATTCGATTAGAACTACGATCACGCATTAAAAATGTGTTAAAAACTACAAACATGGCAGATATGTGAGACCGACGAACAGGTAGAGAAAGGGGTTTGAGTGAT